AAAAAGTGATTTTTTTACATAAATTATGCAACTTTTTCAAATAATTACACTCAATGCAACTAAATGCATAATACACGTTTTTCCAAACAAAAATATAAATTTTTCAATTACAATATATGTAAGTTTTTTCATCAAAAAGTATGACATATTTGGTATGTAAGGAAAGATTATTTAAACTACTATTATAATCTGGTAAAAGTAATGCGACTACAGCAAGCCGTCAGGCGTAGTTTTATTTAGAAAAGATGTAATTTTCAACATAAAGTACCTTGGGGATTGGCTATAGATAAGTCTATGGATTTGATTTTTTCATTAAAGCACGTATTGGTGTTTGTTTTCAATGAATTGGCATTTATAATCAGACATCATTTGGGGAAATTATCCATGAAAAACCATTTTTTTATGAAAATTGGAGTTATTAATTTCAATACCACACCTAAATTAGTATGTTTAACAAAAATATCATTTAAGATTCAGATAAGCTATGGAAGTGTTAATTTTTCTACAAAAGTTATTTTTGCATAAATAATCATAACTTTTAGCCCCATTCAAAAAACTGTTTTCGTTATTTTGTATCATTTTTTGAAATACTCGGGACTCATTCGGCCATCTTGAAAAAAGAATTGATTTATTCAGATTACGTAAACAATTAAAAATCTGAGGCGGTAAACTTTATAAACAAATTACTTTCATTTTCGTTTTTATATCAGTAATTTAGTTTAACATTATTTACAGACATTTATTTTCTTTTATTTTTGTAAAAATAATTTAAAAGTAACAAAAGTTACTTAACTTATTGTTATAAAAACAATTTTATTTTTGAAGTCGATACAAGTAGCATTATGGCTTCAGTAATGTATTAAGATCATGGCGCTCTATACTGAAGGCCTATTCATCGCGCAACCGTAAGCGTAAATAACGCGTAACCAACGTAATGATAACGCGTAATCAACGTAATAAATAACGCGTAATCAACGCGTAATCGTAAATAAACCCTATTTTAATATTTTAAAAAATTGCGAAGATGAAATGCTACTTTAAGGTGGCTCAACCCTCTTAAAAATGTAAAAAAAAAAAAAAAATCATATTTTTTTTTTATTGCTTCTTTATCTAGTTTAAGCATTGCAGATTCCAAAAATATGTCATTTGAGATAAGTTATACGTTCCATCATAAAGAAATTTACATTTTTATGGTGTAGGGTTAAAAATGTTATCCATAGCAACACCTTAGCAACCGTGTCAGCTTTGTTTTATCTGCCCATTTTTTGACAAAAAACTTATAATTTTGAACAACAAAATGCATTTTTTACTTTGTCTACTTTGTTTTACGGCATTCTGTTATTTACAAGTTATAGTTTTTATTTAAATGATGACATTTAATTAACAAGAAATAATGTTGTTTATGTTGTCTTGAAGTCAACACAGTGGCTTCATCCAATATTTTTTATCTATCTTAATAATACAAATAACTGCACTTGTTCTTTATATGTTTATAGAGTGATTAAATATGGATAATAATAAAAATAAAATAAGATTAATCAGAAAAAGATCAGAAAAAGTTTTTATCTAACAGATATACATGTGCTACAATAAATCAAATTGATAAACATATAGTAAAGGAAGCTGTTTCATCATCAAAAATTAGTTTAGATAATTCACTTTTAACTGTTGAAAAAGAAGATTCTAACTTCTTTATAATAATTCACTTTGGAGTACTGCAAAGTTGTCTTCAACTTTTGAGTAGATGCCTAGAATGTGGCGACAAGGTCACTGTCAGTCTTGACCAAATAAAAAAATTAGGACTTTCGCATAACATTAAACTAGAATGTACTAGAATGTATATCTTGTGATTGGAGTTATAATTTTTACTCATCTCCTGCAATAAAAAATAAACACATTCAAGAAGTCAATGTACGTGCTGTAATGAGTTTTCGCGAAATTGGTTGTGGACATGAAGCTTTAAAGACATTTGCTGGATGTATGAATATGCAACCTCCAATGACTTTTAATTCATATTAAAACATTAATAATCTTTTACATAATGTTTATGACTCTGCTTCATCTAAATGTATGAAATTTAGATGAAGCAGAGTCATACTGGGGCACACTAGTTTCATGTTAGTATACTATTTATTTCATTTTTAATTTTGTTTTTCATTTTTCTCAAAAATAAGTTTTTGTTACGTTCACTTAGATTCAAACAACAGTTTTTAGTACTTCTGTTTAACCGATTGACTTGAAATTTTCACAGACTTTTCTTTAATATTGGAACTTGGTTCTGAACTAAAAACAACTATTTAGAACAAATGGATCTTGTATAATTGCACTTTGATTTGCTAAAATGACCTTATTTTTCAATGCTCAAAAATAATTGTCAGCCATTATGGATTGGTACATTTTCAAATTTTAATTTTAGTTCAGAACCTTCTTTACTACTTTACCTTTATGCTGTCAAAATTTGGTTCAAATATTATTTACAGATTTTGAGAAACTAATGTTTAAAATTTGATACTTTTTTAATAATTTTTGCTGACACAGCTTTTTTTTTTCAGCATTTTTAAAAACTTTTTGTCAAATTTTTTTTTCATTAAATATATCAACAGTAAACTTAGTGCAAAGACATTTTTTTTAATTTTTAAAGAATTTAGAAAAAAAGGGGTAGAGCCACCTTAAGGAAAACAAAGACCAAAAATGCCACCATCTGTTTGGCCTGGAATACCTTCAAGTCAAATACCCACTCCATTGCCACCTCATCGCACAACACAGAAATCTTTGAGCGTTGTTAGAAATGTCAGAACTGATGAACTTAGCCTTTTTTATTGGCTGATACAGCAACATATATTGATTTTAAAAATGTTTTATTAAATAATCTCAGGGTTTTTTCAGTTTCAATAATAACATTTATGATTGAAAAAACAGTAAATGTTCAATCTATAATATTTTGTGATGGTGTTCCTTTATTTCTTGTTAAAATTTTTGAGAATTTACATTTTGAAACATTTCATTGTGGAATAAAATGTTTTATAAAAAGTTTGTGTAAAAATCGTATTAATATTGTTTATACTTGGTCAAAGTTTGAGGAAATACTACATTTTTTAAATGTCATGGAAATAGATCATAAGAAAAACATTATTCAGCAACAAATATCAGTTATGTCTGCAAAGCTTATTGGAAAAAATATATATGAATCAGATACTATTATACCTAGTTTTGAATATTTTTCAACATCTCGTTCTTTATACAATAAACTAAGAAACGATTTTCAATTGCCATCAGTTAGTACTTTGACACGAATAACATCAAAAGTTAGCAAAATTGATGATGCTAGTTTCTTAGACTCAGTTTTCAAAAACATTGAAGAAAAACAAAAAAGTTGTATAATTATTCATGATGAAGTATATGTCAAAAAAATGATGCTTTACCATGGTGGAACATTGTTTGGTAAATCTTCAGATGATCCATCATTATTGGCTAAAACTGTGTTAGGAATTATGATAGTATGTCTCAAAGGTGGTCCAAAATTTCTGTATAAAATGATTCCAATTTCAAAATTAAGTTCAAATTTTCTGTTTGAACAAATAAACTCTAGCATAAAACTTATAAAATCATCATTTGGCGATGTAAAAGTTGTTATCTGTGATGGTAATCGTGTAAACCAAGCATTTTAAAATTATATCGTACTATTCCAGAAAAACCTTGGAAAACGGAAGATGGGATGTATTTACTGTTTGACTTTGTTCATCTTTTGAAAAACATTAGGAATCTATGGCTTACAGAAAAAACTGGGGAACTAGTGTACAATGATAATGGTATTCAAAGAACAGCTAAATGGGAACACCTTAAATGCTTATATCAATTAGAATCAGAAAAGTTAGTCAAATTGTCAGACTTAAATGAAATTGCAATAGCTCCCAAGCCATTTGAAAAGCAAAATGTATCTACTTGCCTTAAAGTTTTTTCAGATAAGACATATCGTGCCTTGCTGACCTATTCTCAAATAATTTCAAATTCTAAGGATATAATATCTGCAATATTTATAAATAAAGTAATAACCTGGTGGAAAATTTTGAATGTGAAAGGTCGTGGAGCTGATGTAAGACACAATGATCCACTAGAAGCACCTATTTGTAGTCCTGATGATTGCTGTCTTAATACTTTACTTCAGTTTGGTGATATGGCTCTCGAAATGTGTTGTAAAAATGGCAAAAGAGTAAAGCAGTTACCTAATGATATTGCAAAATCAATTCACCATACTTGCTATGGTATTGTCGAGCTATGTAAATATTTATTAGCAACAAGTCATGATTACGTTCTTCTTGGAATGTTAACAATTGACCACTTAGAAAAAGAATTTGGGAAATTGAGACAAGGCTCCGGGGGTGCTTACTTTATAAATGTTCAACAAATTATAGAAAAACTGCATATAAATCACACATCACTGTTTTTATCTTTAAATATTGACATAAATTCTTTTGATTTTAGCTCAGGTCATGAGTGTGCTTCTTGAACATATGTTTTATGTGAAGCAGGTTGTGAAATATTTGACAATTTAGAAAAACTAGAGTAATCAATTTCAGATACTACCATTTGATTTATATTGCTGGTTATGTATGTAGAAATGAATATAATGAAAACAATTTGTTCAACCAAACATTATTTTATTATGAAAAGTTTGGTGAGTACCTCATATATATAGATCGCGGTGGTCTTAAAATTCCACCAGACATTGTTTGCCAATGGGTTTTTTTTTGCTTTGCCTTATTCCATTCAATAAAAGATAAATTTTGTCGTAAATTCTTAAGTGACATTTGTCTGCTGGTTTCTGAATTTTACTATTTTGAAATTAATCAAAAACATTGCAACACACTTGCCAATATATTTTCAAATAATTTTTGTGCACAAAACACACCAAGATCTAATAAAGAACCTGTATTAAAAGTTTTAAAATTATCATAAATTTGTTTAGAAAATAATGATTTGTATATGCTGTTGTTAAAATATATGCAAATATTTTCTTTGTTTTAATTTTTTTTTTTTTAATTTTAAATATTAACTTTTTATTACATTTTAATATAAATATTTCTAAATAAACTAATTAAACTCATTAAAAGTCTTATTTTGACTCCAAAATATAATTTTATAGCTGAGTTGCTGATAATCCGTAAAAATAATAGGCCCCCAGTCACGGTTTACGGTTGCGCGATGAATAGGCCTTCAGAATAGAGCGCCATGATTAAGATAAATACTTTTTGTTGTTAGCGCAACGCAAAATGAAACATATAATACATAATTCATTTCAACTGCTTTTAAAAGTAGCATATTTTTTTTAAATATACCAACACAAATCTATTAAGTTGTAACTAAGTTTATAAATTATGTCAAACAAACGCTTCAAGATACTTTATAATTATATTGATATATCTCCTGCAAAACTGTTATAACAGACGCTTCCGTTGTTCATAATATTTTGCCATTATTTACGAAATCTTTGTTTGCATAAATACCAATAAATAAAAAGTTGTTCGGTTTGCCACCAAGAACCAATCGGATTTGTTTAAAATTATTGGCTTTTTTTTACGAGTTTGTTTGTTCTATGCCTTAGTTGCATCCACTGATCTCAAAATATTTTTATTATTATTTTAATTTTTATTAAAATATTTTTTATTATTATTTATTTTTATAATTATTTGTTATTATCATTTGTAAATATTTTGTTATTATTAGTTATATTTTGAGATCAGTGGTTGCATCGTGGAAGTATAAAACAGATGGAAGTTCATCGAGCCGCAAACATCAAAGCAATTTCAAGTCGTCTAGGGAGTATGCTTGTAAACGACAATAAAAAAAAACAAATTTCACTCGACAAAAAAAAAACAAAATTCATTTAAATGATTTTTATTAAAACATCAAAAAATTAATTATTCCGTGTCACATGATAGAGCCGAAAATATTTATCCTCGAAAATATCACACAACCGAACATTTTAGAACCGAAAAGTATACTTTTATTGCAGGATCAAATTACAAAATCCTTTCTTGCGCCGAAAGTTTTTAAACCGAATTTTACAAGCGAAAAAATTTATATATATTATATATATATATATAGCTTTATTTTATTTTTAATATATTTCTCTAAAGTTTTGTTGTTTACAACTATTTATATTGTTTTTACATATATATGTTGCTTATATTGTTTAAAGTTTTGCTTATGTAAAAAATTCTATATATACATTCTACTTTATTGTAAGGTATACTTTGCAAGGTATTCGTAAATTAATTTTTGTTAATGTTTCTAACGTTCCGATGATAAGATCTTAACGATCTTCTTTCGGAAACCTAGTTTACACTGTTATCACACATTATATATATATATATATATATATATATATATATATATATATATATATATATATATATATATATATATATATATATATATATATATATATAATATATATATATATATATATATATATATATATATATATATATATATATATATATATATATATATATATATATATATATATATATATATATATATATATATATATATATATATATATATATATATATATATATATATATATATATAATGTGTGATAACAGTGTAAACTAGATTTCCGAAAGAAGATCGTTAAGATCTTATCATCGGAACGTTAGAAACATTAACAAAAATTAATTTACGAATACCTTGCAAAGTATACCTTACAATAAAGTAGAATGTATATATAGAATTTTTTACATAAGCAAAACTTTAAACAATATAAGCAACATATATATGTAAAAACAATATAAATAGTTGTAAACAACAAAACTTTAGAGAAATATAATAAAAATAAAATAAAGTTATATAATAGATAAATCAATTAGTAGTACTCTAAAATGATATCGAGGGAAAAAATTAGATTTTTAATTTTGTTTTTAAAAAGACAAAGAATTTGCACAAAAGAATGAAACTGCAACTTAATGGTTTTTTTGTAATTAAATTCATTCATTCTACTTAACTCTATCTGATCTTAAAAGGTTTATAACAACGTGTAACAGTTACAATAACTTACACGGCATTAAACTCAATGCTGTCAAAATGGAAGTTTTGCTTTCCGGAATACGACTAGTAACTAATTGCAAGATAACCTTAAAAACCATCAAATAATACCAAATGAAAAACTTAGTCATCTGGGCTATATATGGGATAAAGAAAAATCCAATTTTGTCTCACTAAACAAATCAAATATTACCAGTAGGGTATCAAATTTCCAAACAACTGCGCAAACTCTGATTCGATTTGGTATCCGACTCGCACATCCATCATTAATTATCCAATTGCATAAATCTTCAGCAGTTCCAACGCTAACGCATGATCTAGAACTCTGAGAAATAGAGACTTAAAATGCAAAACTTGATAATATTGGAAGAAATGCAGTTAAGTATTTTTTAATGTATCCAAGTATAGCAAAAACTATATTAACTCTCTGTTTAGAGTTCGGGAGATATCAACGTACAAACAAAAATATAAAATAAACCTATTTATCCGTCTATTTAATAATAAAGGAACTTTTGAAATTTTCAAAATTCTTCGTAACTCCACTGAAAATAATCAAACAATTCCTTCAATTAAGACACAAAAACATTTAAAAAGTTTTCAATTTTTAAACGACAAATGGGACATTTTTTGTTTCCGTCATTTGCAAGGTTATCTGAACACTGAAGACAAATACAAAAGTGTCTACACGGCAGAACAACAACTTCTAAAGGAAGTGCAAGACATATCTTGCACAATGTCTCCATAGGTCTGGTCTCTTGTTGATGATCCTGAACATTCTCTTGTGGATTTTCGTCCTAAAATTAAATTTCAAAAATTAAATTAGATAAAAGCATTTTAAAGTTATCTTATAATATAAAAATTATACTAGAAATTTTATGTTTTTGTCCGAAAACATTAATTTACTGTAGTATAATAGTAATGTAGTCCAATCATTTTGACTATTTTATTTACCTGCACTTGTTCTGTATCTCTCACTGATGTGAGTTTTTAAAATAGAAAGCTGAAGCCTCAAGAAACTTTGTTGGAGTCCACTCTCCTGTGGAAAGTTTTTCTTCATAACTTTGTAATCGTTTAAAAGATCGAACTCTCTCTCTCTCTTATTTGTCCTCTTCGAGGTTGATGACCATTCTGGAATTGGTTGAGTTCCAGTTCTGCATTCAAAATTATCTAAAAAGTTCATTAAAATAATTTTCACAATAATAAATTTAATTCAAGTAAACAAAGATTGAGATTGTAAATACAATAAAAATTACATATGTGTCATCAATATGTTATTAAGGGCAGATATGAGCAAATTGTCACAAATAAATCACGCTTTCAAGCCGTTTCAAAATATGAACAAATGATTTGATTTGTAAAGTATTTCTTGGTACAAATTTAAGTAGTGCGATTGTGAAATTATGATAGCTAATTTATATGATGATTCGCACCTATCAGAAGAGACCCTAATGCCTTAAGGGATTGCCCAAAATAAATCAAGTTACTTTATTATGAGCTTAATCGACGGAATTTATCCTTTGCAATATTCATTTAAATATGGCAATACCTGATGATATATATAGTCTAAAATCCTCCAGAAGCTAGGGTGAGCAGCCATGCATCTATTCATTTTTGAATGCAGTGATTCCGAGACATTATTGGTTCTAAATTGAAGTCCATGCACAGAAAAAAAAGCTGGGGTTTGTGTTGTCATCCAATACTTCTTAAAGTAATACACAAACTTTCTCATTTTTTTACGAGTTTCAATGTTTGCAAATCGACTCATCTCTGTTTTGAGTAAATCTATTTCTGCTCTGATGAGAACATAAGGCAAGAGGCAGATGGCAACGAATTTCCGGCCCCACCTTTTAATTGCAGGGTTGTGGATGTACTCAGATTGAAGACCAACAGCTTCGATTTTTCTTAAAATTGCCTGGCCGTAATGAAACCGGCAACCAGTCAATCTTATTTCAGGGAAGACAACCTTCAAGGCACTGCCTATTGCTGCTTCATAATCAGCCATAGAAATTCGTGGTTGAAAGTCACTTGAAAGTTCCTTAATTTTTCTAAATATAGCAATGTAAATACCTTCTTTTCTCCCAGTCATAAAAACATGAAACACAGGAAGGACAATATCACAATGCATAATGGAGATATTTTGTAGTTGACTCCTTTGAAGATGCTAGGAACAACGCGAAATGTTGCACCAATCAAAATAATTGTAGATCCTGAAAAAAATGAATAAATGTGTAAGAGTATTGAAAAATATGACAAAAACAGAATATTATGAGCAAGCTAAAGTTAAAAGATGTTAAATAAATTTCTAAAAAAAAATTCACAAAAAGTCATCAATTTTGAGCCAAACTACTGTGCTACCTGAGAGTATTTGTAGTAGTGCTGATGAAAAAAATACTATGGCCAACTGGTCTTCAAATCTGACGATTCCTTTCAGAATGTTGGTAAATGGATTTGGCTCAGATATTGCCAATACTGCTTCTTCTACGCTTTTAGGATTTGCTCTGTACTGAATTTTTCTTGCAGCACAAAGTATCTGTTCACATTTTAAGTAGGATAAAAAAATTTTAACATTTTCAGGACAGTCTCGAATGATTTCCATGTAAATCTGGCGTTACGGAATTTGTGTAGTTGCAGCTTTGAGTCTCATTTTTTCCATCGCTTCCAAATGGCTGAAATTTTCTGTTTTGGAATCACAAGAGTGGCCTCGCAATGTCTCAAGTAAATCACTTCCTTCGCGTATTTTTGCAGTTCCAACACACAGTTGATAGTTTTTGCAGTTTAAATAAATGTAACCGTTGTGATTCTTATTTTTTACATAGCAATTATTCCCAGCTATGTAGAGAAATGAATTTCTCCTTTCGCCTTCAACTTTATGATACTCCATTCTGTTGTTATTATTCCACCAACTACGAGATGTTTTTGAAAACAAACAATGCTTTTTTTTAATTTATTATGTAAGACTTTCTTCAAACCAGTAAAGGCATTAAACTTATATTACAAAAGCATTAAACTAAAAATATTTATAAACGCTAAAAAAATTCGGTGCTACAACTTTCGGTTGTAAACCATTTTAATGAATTTCGGTTCTAAAATCATTAATGACTTCCGATCGAAAATTCGATCGAAATTTTTTCGGTTCTAGAATCATTAATGACTTTCGATCGAAAATTTGATCGAAATTTTTTCGGTTTTAAAATCATTTATGACTTTCGATCGAAAATTCGATGGAAATTTTTTCGGTTCTAATTTTTTTCGTGAATATTTTCGGTTGTGTAATAAATTTCTCATATTCGGTTCTATATTGAAATTAGGGATTCGGTTGAATCATAGGACGCCAATTATTCTAGGGATATGCGGCAAAGTTTTAACGATGCAATTATTCAGCAAAAGGTTTATTAAAAAAATTAAAACTAAAGGTTATTAAAATAGAACCACTTGATTTTAAAAGCATATGTTAGTTTAAGCTTCTTTTCTAGCTTTAAGTCAAAACACGACATTTGATTAAAAAGACAAATAAAACAATTTTTAAAAAATCAAAAAAATTGTTTTTTAAATAACTAAAATCTTTAACTACTAATTTATCATAAATAACAACAGAATATTTACCGTTATTCCTGTGAGCTCGTATTTCTTCAAAGGGATTTTTCCATATGGTTAGGGTATTCTTTTCTTTGTTTTTTTTTTTTTTATTTTATTTTAGGTGCTACAAGAAGTTATCACAGAGTACCGTGGAAGAACATTTGAAAGGAAGCTCACGCCCTTCCTTACCGATTTTATAAAACTCGCCCAGAGGTGGCGTTGAACCACGGATCTCTAGGTTGAGGTAAGCTGCTTGGTGTCGAAAGAGTAGTCCTCATTTATAAATATTTCTGTTTCTTTAATTTTTTTGAATTCTTTAATGTGCTAATTTTATCTTTATAGTTTAGCAATTTTATTACGATTGATTGAGGTTTATTTTGTCCAGTTTTTCCGGTCCTATGTACCCTTTCAATAACTACACCACTTACATTTAGTTTGTTTTCAACAAATAAATAGAATATTTTCTTCATATTAATTCCAGCTTTCAGGTTCTCTCTCAGTATTCCCTCAAACTGCAAATTGTTTCTTCTCAGTCCAATTGTCGCAGCTTATTTTTTTCTTCCTCATTAAATGCTTTTGTAAAAAAAAAAAATCTTCAATTCTATTGATTTTTTCTTCTTGGGTATCTTGCGAAAAAGTAACACTGTTTTCGATATCTTTTTAAGTGTGTTAAATTTTTGAGACTCTATCATTTGTTTTTACCATTTCAAATTTTCTCTAATTATTTTCATTTTGTAAAGTTCTGCACGTTTCTTTAATTTCTGTTAACTCTTTCAACAGTCCATCAATACTTTCATTTTCAACAGTCAATCAATACTTTCATTTTCAACAGTGCATTAATACTTTCATTTTCAACAGTCCATCAATACTTTCATTTTCAACAGTCTATCAATACTTTCATTTTCAACAGTCCATCAATACTTTCATTTTCAACAGTCCATCGATTCTTTCATTTGTAATTTTTAAATTACCACTGATAAGTTTAAGAATGTTTTTTTGCTGCTTTTTAAACATCTCAGAAAATATTTCTCGAACTAGTTTCACAGATATTTCTGAAGCTTCTGTATTTGATTGAATTTCTTTTTTATCAGTATTTTTAATTATTTCCATTTTATTAACAAGTTAAATACCAATATGTTTTAATTTAAAAAAAAATCTTACGTATATATACTTTTTTAATACTTAAACAAATGTATATACAAAGAACCCTGACAGGAATAAATTCCTATAGTTAACTGTAGGGTAGGGTGGGGTAAGGGGGGGCACCTTTGCAAACTTTATCGTATATAAAAAATACTTTTACATTTTCTTGTATTTTTTCTTTCTAATATCAAAGTTTACTTATAAGAGAAGACATTGTTAAGATAAAATAACTACTTTGTTACTGTTGATAAACTTTCAAATCAAAAAAAAATTGTGCCAGAAGACATCTTGCCTCAGTAGTGGGGCAAGATGCTCTAAGGATTTAAATAAAAAAAGCTTTTCACACGTTTTTTCCCAAACCATTAAAACAGTTGTTTAAGATAGCTTAAAGTTCTTAAAAATAAAAGCCATTATTAGTTTTTTTTTATTTACTCTTTACATTTTATTAAAACAACTGAAATATAAACACTGTAAATAAATACTATGCAATTATTCTATACAATTGTCTTGAAGATAAATAACTTCTTTTTTAATTATTAGCAATAAATAACTAAAATAAATGTTCTAATAACGATGTATATACATGACTATGATTCACAGTAGTAGCATAAGTCTGAATCATCTGGACCACACGAAGTGTGGTACCACGATGTACATTTAGTACATTGTGTCCAATCATCGAATGGGGGCACATTATATGCACAAGAGCATATGATGCATAAAGTAATATCAGTAATAAAACATTCAGAGGCTTTCTGCTTTTTAGACTTCTTTGGCTTTTTTGTCTTCAAATTTATTGATTTCTTTTTTTGCTTGATTACCTTATTAAGCGCAGCTTTTTCTTTACGCAATATTGCTTCTTGTTGCTTTTCTTTTACATTGTTTTTATGTTCTTTTAATCTTTTCTTGAAAGGCAAAGAAGTAAGACTTTTAGCTGATTCTATCTTTCTATTACGCTGTCTTAATACAGTAATTTTAGGTTGCGGGGAAATCTTTTCCAAAATATTAGGGGCGGATTTGGCCAAGATGCTCATCAACAACTGGCAAAACTGCATCATTTGATTGTGCTGGTTCTTTTATAACAGTCTTCAATTTTGAGGCAACAGTTGCTGTGCTTATGACATCTGGCAACTGTATAGGTGCATACTAGGCGAATCACTTGAGTAGTAAGAGATTACCAATTCTGGCTTATTTTTTATTTTCAACCAAATTTTCAACCATAAATTAATATTAATATTGGGGTTAACATTGAACCATGTTGTGTATAATTTATTTAGATAAGAAATAATTTTTTTATTTTAAAAAATTGATTTTTTTAAAATAAGTGTTAAATTTTATTTCTTGTTATGAAATATTACGAAAAATTCTTAAAATGACGTCACGTGATTTTTCTTAATAATAAATTTGATCTGGTGTTTTTAACTTTTCTTCTTCTAATCTTTCCTTCTCTAACTTTTCCCATTGTAATTTATTTTTATTTTTAAAATAACGAGCTAAACTTATTCTTCTTTTATAACCCATAAATTTATTAACTTCATCTTTACTTGTACATTCCATTTTTTTAATTTATGTAAAGAATTTAAATTTTCAATTTTTTTCTTCTTGCTTCTTATTTATATCCTTTTTCATGTAAATACTTTACAACTTCAAGATGACTATTTTCTCGTCTCATTAAATTGGAAAAAGCATATTTAATTAAATTTTCAGGTCCTCTTAAATTTAAATCTTCAATAAAATATTTAAGAATTTCTAAATGTTCATTAAATACAGCACACATAAAATCAGTTTCATTGACTTTATAATTTAAAGATATTAAATATTTAACTACATCTAAATATCCATCTACTACAGCATTATTAATTGCATTTTTTGTTCCTTTATACCCTAATTCATGCAAATATTTAATAATTTCAAGGTGACCATTCATTGCAGCATAATTAATTGCATCTTTTGTACCTTTATACCCTAATTCATGCAAATATTTTAATACTTCAAGGTGACCATTTTCTGCAGCATTATTAATAGCAAGTTTATTACCTTTATACCCTAATTCATGTAAATATTTAATAATTTCAAGGTGACCATTTTCTGCAGCATAAGCAATTGCATCTTTTGTACCTTTATAACCTTTTGAATGTAAATATTTAATTAGATCAAATCTATCTATTTCAACAGCAAAGTCAACTTTATTTTCAAAATTATCGTTATACCCATAGTTTTTTAATATTTCAGTTATATAATATATCTGAGATGAAGGATTAATTATTTCGTTTTGAATTTTATTTTCCATTCTTTTTTATATATACAAGAAAATTATTTAACTTATTTTTCAATTTTTTTATTTTTTGTAAAAAAATAAAAAAAAATATTTAATTCTGTAGTCTAATTATCAAATACAACTTCATCTTTATCATCTTCATTATCATATTCAGTAGTTTCTGTAATTTCAGTAGTTACTGTAGTAACTGTAGTTACTGTAGTTACTGTAGTAACTTCTTCTTCATCTTCTTCATCTTCTTCATCTTCTTCATCTTCTTCATCTTCTTCATCTTCTTCATCTTCTTCATCTTCTTCATCTTCTTCATCTTCTTCATCTTCTTCATCTTCTTTATCTTCGTCATCTTCTTTATCTTCGTCATCTTCTTCAGTCATTTCAATATCATTATCATATTCAGTAGTTTCTGTAATTTCAGTAACTTCAGTAGTAATTGTAGTAACTTCAGAATCTTCAGTCATTTCAATATCATGAATATTAATTATATTTAATTTTTCTTCTATTAATCTTAATCTTTGTTCAATTGATTTTAAAAATGAATTTTGCATTTCGTTTTCCATTCTTTTTATATATAAAAGAAAATTATTTAACTCATTTTAAATTTTTTGATTTAAAGTATTTTTTACAAATAATAAAAGAAAAATGTATGATGATGAAATTAATGAAATATCAGAATTTCAAAAAGAATTTAAACTTTTTGAAGAAATATTAAAATTTGAATTTGAAGAATCAGATTCTGAAGATGGCACTTATTATACATCTGATGAAGCTACTTATTATACATCAGATGATGAAGAAGTTAAAGAAAAACCTATAGTTCCAATTCCTTTAAAAACAGTTCAAATCATGGAACTGCATAAAGATAAGCTGAAATGGATTAATTATGTTCCAACTTATAATGTTATTAATGATGATTTTCCTGCTCTTGATGATACTTCTTTTAAAAAACATTACAAAAA